TGAAGAATTTCTCTGTTATTTTATATATAATTTAACCATTTTTGCCTGCTGAAATATTTCTGTCCAATTTATTGCCTATAGTAGCACAGAAAAGGGCAAATTCAATCCCATGACATAATTAAATCTACAGCTACTGGACAAATTAACCTAAAAAGCTCCTGCCATCTCAACCAAAGTAACTAGTGCTGATCCTTTCCTGTTAAAGCGTAAAAGTGTAAAAGCTTGAATGCAATCCCTTTATGAACCAGTAGAGAGAAACCTCACACCTACCAATATGTTTGTCCAGACGTTAAAAGTAATGTCGTTATATTGTTTACATAGCAATAGGGTCTCTCTTCTTCATAGCATCATTTCTAGTGCAAAATCATAACTAATGATTCTGTTTGACCTATTTTTAAGTGCAGAAATACATGTGTCTGTTTTTGACATACAGTATTTCCACAGATTCATAGTCATATAAAGGTCCTCTTGTTTGACAGTAAGTTGAGTTATGTGCACTGTATAAAAATTAGATTTGAACTACAGTTTACCTTAAAAAACAGCTAACATATAAATATAACAATAAAGTTAACGCTTTTTTAAAAATTGAATTATTAATCGTAATTATTCATTAGCACCACTTACAAAGTGGTGAAATAAATTGGAGAAAGCTTTTGTGTGATGTCATAATTCACTTACAGTCAACTTCATTAAAACAATGAAGCTGACTGAGTGAATTCTGTTCTTCAGTTGCATGAGAAAATAGACGTGTGAAACAATGTAGAAGTTTGAGAATATTTTAGCAACACTGAGAGCCTCAGTTTCACCCTGAGGTCTCACCATATGAGGAGATATGTTCATTTTACACCGCTACTATATGAAGGAAGTGAAACGCAGACAATGGTCAACATACAAGCTGCAGGGACACAAGCAGCTTTCCCACAGAGTCCATCTTCATTTTATCCTGTCAATGTCCCTAGAGTCAGATCCACACTGATGAATATGTGGCCCTGTTAGTTATAATTAAAACAGTTATATTTATTTTCAAACTTCTTTAGGTTCATTCATAGACACACTAAAAGTAAGCCAAAACCCCACAACTTTGATATATATTTATATATTTCTAACACTACACGAATACATTAATATATACAAATATATAATAATCACATATACATTACATAATATAAATAAATTATATATATATACCTATACACAGTGTTGGGAGTAACGGAATACAGTGTCCGCCGTTCGTATTTAAAAACAAATATGAGTAACTGATATTTCCGTTACAGTTCCCGTTTAAAAAGTATGGATTTCAGAATAACAGTTACTTTCGTTGTAAATAAATGATTACACGGCGGTACGTCCCTGTTTACTATATTGTGCGGGTCAGGACTGTTTGCGGTGTGATTTGACACCGCATAGTTCTGTTGTTCCCATTCATTTACAAAGTTTTTATTGTTATTTAAGGAATTTTGAATCAGGATAATATACATGACTAAATATTCTTATCTGATCTCCAAAATATGATTACAAAGCTGCAAGCATAACATTTTTAAATTGCTTTTGATACAATATGAAACTTCCACAGTCACCTCCTAACCGTTTTCATTTTCATTGATCCTCAGTTCAGTGTCCAGTGCTGATCACGAGTGAGTTCAGTTCACTAAAGCTCAGACTCAGACTTAAGGTTTATGTTCTCTGTTTCACACCTGAGGCTGTGAAAGAAAAAAAAATCAATTATAGCAAAATAAATACTTTTACAATTACCCATCAAATTATGGCACTGAAATGATGTAATTGTATATCAACCTCTTTTGATCACTGGCCGCCTTGTTAGAAATCTTCTTAAGACGCTTCAGTTCCCGATACACAACACAGCATGACACTGCTATCAGGGGAGATCCCAGTGCAGCAAAGACTAGCCTCAGGTAAGGAAAACTGTGTGCTGAGAGAAGAGAACACAGTGATAATTATAAGTACAGTACTTACAATTTATTCAAGCGTAAACTTTGGTAAGACTTTGGTATTATTATGGTTAACTAACTGTAAATATATAAATGTTTGGGCACAACCCCCACACACTAAACTATTATTTAAACTAAATAAAGAGATGGTGAAAGAAAACTGGAACAATGGGGGAAAACACTCAAACGTGTAGCGTGGTCCTCCAGGTTCCTCCTCCTCCCTGCCGGTCTACCCATGAGCTCAACAAACTTGTACAATATTTATAGATGCTGTAGACAGAGTTTATTAACATTGTTTTAATGTTACTATTATGTTATAAAAACAGTTTAGATGATGTTTACAAATCTGTTAATTTTTTGTGACATTATAATTTTTATTGAATAAAAATTAACTTAAAAGTACTTGACTATGACTTTACTAACTTATTAACCAAGGTATGATGAAGTATTACCTACATGTTTTTATTTGGCTTTGACTAAAATGAAAATTCAAAGTAAATGTAAAATGTTGTCAACCCTGTTTGCAACATAGAAGATCCCAATATGAAACAGGTCATTATCTGACCTGACCCAGTTCCTAAACACGTCACACCCTGTGATGAAAGCCAAACAAAGGCTATTATTCCCCCAGGAAGCTAAAACGGACTGGACTCGCTTCTCTGCCTCTTATGAACTTCTACAGAGTGACAACAGAAAGTGTCCCCTGTCTTAGTATGACGGTGTGCTTTTAACAGTGTCTTCTTTGTGCTTATATGCAAGTGTGTGTGTGTGTATAT